CATACATACATACATACATACGCGTTCACCCAAGCTCATGACGTTTTTTGGTGTGTATGCTTGTGGAAGTCTCAGCTTGTGTCGGTGGCGTGCACGTACCGTGACAGCACGTGAAAGCCTGAAGAGCTTGCATTGCGAGCATTCCCCGATTTTCCTGTAAAGCCACTGTAAGCCTGTAAGCAAATAGTTCTGCACAGAAGCAGAAATCCCGCAGAGTTCTTGATGCCGTAATTATGGTCAACAGCCTGCACTGAGGCCACTCAGTCCGTTGCCACGGCCACACTGTTTGCGGCTGGCTGGTTGACTTCTCTGACCTTCATGGATGTTACCTGCCTACAGTGCCAACTGCACAGAACCGTCCTGCTGTTTTTGTCCGACAGCTGTGTAGTTAAGCATGCCTGTCACGTGGTGAGGTGATTTCTCACGGCCCGGCGGGGCTTCCCGTCTGCACGCTTTTGTGTTGCCTCTTTTCGACGAGTTCCTGGAAGCTCAAGAGTCCGTAGACGGCGGGAATAACGCAGAGGAAACAGGCTTTCGAAGATCGTAAAGCAAGGAAACATGCGATTTGAGGGCTTGGCTTCCCTGAATGTCCCAATCTCCAAACATGTTGAAATCTGGTGGCCGGTGAACAGCTAGGTGGAATTAAAGTGTGAAAGATAGATACATGAAGGCCGGTACATGAATACGAAGAGCTCCCACTCCGCTTGTCTCCGGATGTCCGCTGTGCATCCCAGGCTTCTGATGTATGCATCGGTAGCGGCTCTCATGAGTGGCTTCACTGCAAGCGGACAAAGACAAGGGTCCGGGTACGAATGCTTGTTGTCTCCAACGAAGCAATCTCACGATGCACCAGCTACGCCCTCGATCGTCGCGGCTTGCACCACACACCGGGCCGTCTGCACTGGTGGCGACCGGAATTGCGAATCATTGCATGCCTACGCTAGTCGTAGGGAAAACTGTTTCCCGGACCCCACATCGCCGAGGCATATACGGATTTTGCATTCTTCCTGAGACGGGAGGCCATTCCCTGGAGGCTCCGGGCTAATATGGCTTCAAGAAAGACAGGCACTGCTGAGATACTGCGAGACTGCCAGGAGTGTGCCGGTGACATTGGGTCGGAGGTGCCAGCGCGTGCATCACGGTGCTTCGTCACTTTGCAGGGTCCTGCAATGTAATTTACAAAGGTTTGATCTGGGCTGCCTGGCCTGGCCAACCAATGATTAGATTCCTTGGCACATGTGAGGCTTCGACAGACGTGGATGAGAGTGAGTCTGATGGAGACAGTGCTTCGAGTTTCCTCAAAGAGTAAACTCGTGTCTCTTTGCGGCCTGGCGGTCGATCGGTTATGCTGTCTGTCAGCGGCGAATAGCGGCGGTATGTGCAAAATGGAGACAGGTCTGGTTCCTGGGTGATGCTCAAAGAATGCCTGGACATTTAATCACCTCTGGTTGCGCATGACAGTGGTGCAAGGCTTGTTCACGAAGCCATCCTATGCTCTCCCAAAGATCACCTCCGCAGCAGATGACGCCTGTGTTTCAAAGGTAACACTACTTGCATCGGCATGCGCGAGGCCACTTGCTCGGCCATCTCTTTTTCCAAACCTGCATCGAAAGGCAAAGCAGTGCAATGGGGGTCTTGGGGCCAAATCTGCTGGAGCACGCCATCTCTGACTTATATATTCCCAACACCGGGTAATGCGGCATCCAAGCGGTCCACCTGAAGCTCTAGCTACGTCTTCAAAGCTTATTGGAGTGGCTGGCTGTTGCTAAAACAATGGACATGAATAACATTGTCATGTTGGCCTCCGTCCTGGTGTTTTCCTAACAACAAAAATCTACAGGAAACACCAGAACATTCAATAGAGACGATGATGGAAGAAGTGCTGAAAACGCCTTTGCGGATGCACAAAACAAGGGTGCTTCTTGCAAATTTGGTGTGAGTGACTTAACTTCCGTCGCAACATGTGATGGGGCATGCAGCAAGATTGGTTTGAACGGAAACCACAAATTGTAGGGGAAGGCCGCCACGCAGGCTTTCGTGTGCATCGTCTTGGTAACGTTAGCGATTCACATACGCCGATGCTGGACTGCATGTCAACACTTGCACTCTGCCGATCGACAGCACAGGTGGCTCAGCGAGGGATAGTCCGCACATGCATGCATGGCACTTGGAGACATCAGGTTTCGGACACCCGGGAGCACCATATCTCCCAGAGACCCTCACGGACCTGATACCATGTTCATGCATGGTGCTTGCTGATGATGCAGCGCGCAGGCCGGGTAAGAGCATTTTGATTAGCTTTTTGAAACGTTGACATGCTGCCCGTCCGTGGTGGTAGCACCACGGCATTTTTCTCATCTTCCCGATTCGATGCAGCTGCCTTTCAAATGCATGTAGTGTGTATGTGGAGGTGCGAGAGTGCTCTTGGTCATTGCAGCGGCGTCCTCAGTGACTTACTGCATCATCAGTCTGTTGCCAGCAGGCCATCTTGTCCCGAAAGAGGCAAGCAAGCGTCGCCCATGCTGTAGCGTCTTTATGCAGGGTGAAGCATAGATCTCACAGATACGGATTGCATCCGACGTGTAAAAATTCCACCCAGGTTGCCGCTGCACTGGCATCCAGCCTGTGTCCCTGCTTGCACTATGATTTCATTCAGTGTAGCACATCCGAAAGTAGACAGAGCGGGTGCCAGGGTGGCTCTCTGACGTCTGAAAGGGATAGATCGAACGTGTTTCAAGTGCACAGGGGTGATTGCAAGGTTGAGGCAGTTTAGCACTGGGACATCCACATTAACTTCATGCATGCATGCATACATGCGTAAACATTTGTGCATCTTCACACCTAGATGAATATCTGTATGTATACATTTATATATGTATTTGTAGCTGAAGCTGCATTTGTGTGTTTACCTACTTATGTATATCTGTGTGCGAGCTAGAAGACGCCAGCATGGCTCTACAACGACATAACATATAGAGTGGGAGAGTTTGGAGTAACAGAAGGAAGCCAAAGCAGAAATGTAGCACCAAGAAGCACGACGGTACGCAACACAACAACATAGTAGTTTACTTCCAGAGCAGTATCCTGGCAAGCAAGACAATATGCAGCCTCGTGAAAGGACATCCTTGTGTCTTCTCCGCCAGGGTATCGAGGCGTGCTTCAGCTGAGAAGCCACCCCATCTCTGTCGAATTTGGGGTTCCATTCCAGAGGAATGAAACTCAGAGCATGTGATTTGCCACAAGCAAGCATTTTGCCAAACAGGTTTAAAGAAAGAAGGGACTGACGACGAAGGGATAAGCGTGCATCCCTGGACGCTTTTGGCTTGCGCAGGTGATCGCCGGGACTGAGTCGAATGATCTGGCGCGCATGACACTGGACTTGGATGGACGAACGAAGCCACCGCACGAAATCACAAAGACAGTGAACAACCGAGGAACTTGCGTCGGATTTTCTATATCAACTTGGTGGCGTGGTTGCACGGAATCCGTAGCGATAACTGGTAACTTTCTTGCTATTTGGTTCTTGTGCTGCTGTGCTTGGGGGTGCTCATGTTGGCAGCATGAAAAGCCGATCTGACTGCTGCTTGATCCTCGAAACGTTTCTTTGCCAAGCTCCCATGACACTTTGTTCGTTTACATTCGATCTCTGGACATGTTGCCATGATTCTCAACTCCTGGGACTTTGACACAAGAGTCTGGTCCAAAGTGCTGAACATCGAACTGCATTGGAACTATGTATATAATCTGATCTGAAGTAAGAAGACCAAATCGGAGATTTTGGATAATCAGCAAAGCGACAAGAGTGATCAGAGTTCGCAGGAGTGGTGTAAGCCACAGATGGACACACTGGTTCACTGATGCAATGAGATGCTCGCGACCCGTGACGTCGTCAGCTCAAGTGCCCACTGTCCACCAGTCCACACAATGTTCATATCCAGAACCCCACATTCTCGAATATTTGGCAAGTTTGGGCGCGTTTGGTTACCTTTTGGCCTTTGGCGGGCACGTTTGGTGGAAAACTTCAGAGCTTCCCGTCCCTCCGGCCACGGAAGGCTTGGGCCATGGAATTTAGAGCAATTTCGAGCAACAGCCCGAATTTCGAGCAGGTGCCACCGATTTCGAACTAACGGCGTGTATTGAAAGAGAACTGCTTGTATTTCGAGCAAAGTGAATCATAGCCTCATAAGGGACATAAGAACGAATGTCGAGCAACCCATGGAATTTCGCTCAACCCACTTGAATTTCGACCAACCAGTCTCTCAATTTCGAGCGTTTCGAGCACATGCCCAGAGGGGTTTGATTGGCCGGGTTTGATGCACTTTGCGGTTCAGGGGCCGTTGGGACCGCGAAATCTGCTGCCTCGGAAGACTTCAAAAAGACAATCCCGCATGAGGTGCGAGGTGTTTCTTGGTATATGTCAGACACCTCTTACAGAAATCAACGTTTTGCAGCTTCAACAGGAATCAGACCGAACTCTTTCGCATGTTAGATCACAAGAATGAAGTTGAATGAAGCAAGTGTTTGAACACGTTGTTACGTTGTTCATAATCTCATATCTTGCCTGTCTGCAGGTGAAGCACTGAACCTTCTCACATTTAAACTTGCAGCATTCAAGCCTTCCGGTGCGAGCACCGGACAGTTTCTCGAGGATCATCTGCTTCCTTCGTCATTCATCTGGCAGGATACGATGTCAGCGAAATGCTTCACACCGATATCCAATGATTGTTTCCAGTTGTTGGCGTCGTTCCAGGTGAAGGTTGATTTCCATAAACTTCTGGGCGAGTTCTGCTTCGGCTGAAGCTGCAGATGCTCGTACGAAGCCACAAGACACCGGTCCCTGCTTCCACAATGCGAGATGCAAGTGCAGCCCAAAAGACACTTGTGTTTCCTTCGCGCATTGGGCTCCGGTGTGAGCGAACCGTTTACGACTTCACTACGGGGCCTTGGCCCCTGGCACCACCGGGCAGGTGGGCGCAGGTCGCCTTCCTTGGCAAGTTGCAAATGGTAATGGCAGGGAATTAGCTACCAACCCGCCTTCGAACTATGCTGTCCTGATGGCTGGGTCTTGCTGCCCTCCCGCACTCAAGCCCTTTCGCATGTCCTCCCCATCTCGCGGCTGCAGTAAGCTCCAGACTGTACCGATGATCGGTTGCCAACCGTTCCTCCCAAGCCGACGGTGGGATTGGAAAAGGGCTCACCCGCAGGCATTCTTAAAGCCGATGCACCGGTTACAAGGTGGGAAGAGACGTTACTTCTAAAACTACCCGCGCACGGGCTGCTCATGGGCTGGTATTGAGAGTACAACTGCAGTAGCAACCCGCTTCGCCTGTACATCACGCTCACGTAATCATTCGTTCGGCTGCAACTGCCATCGACGAATGAGGGATCCTAGTATCAAGTCATGGCCGACTGCCTGGTCACACTCCATGGAAGAGGCAGACACCTGCATTGTTGGCATGCGAAACTCGCTTGGGTGCCAAGGAACGGCGTGCCCAGCGTCGTGCCAGGTTTGAGAAGCGAGCGCAGGACGGTGCGAGTTCGAGAGGGGTGTTGGAGTGAGCTAGAGGAGTTAGGACACATGGATCATGAGCGGCCCTGCCCAGGAGCTAGGCTTGATGGACCGGTTGTCCAGGCTGGCAGTGTGGTTTGGTGATGATCTTCGGGGCACATGAAACAGCCGCTTGCGGCCGTTGCCACAAGTCGGCAGCCACACGTTCTTGGACAGTGGTGGGGGGGCAGCAGAACCCTCGCTGAGGGAGCTCAGGCCATGTGGCTTCCAGTCGTTGGTGTCATACGGTCTCTCGGCGAGTGCCTCGCATTAGCAGCGACAGGTTTCCAGCAGTGGATGGCCGACTTATCGATTTCGAGTCGTGCCCTGCCAACAAGAGATGCAAAATAGACAAGGAGTGTCTGATGCGCTGCATTGCTCCGAGTTCTATAGCCGTGGTTTTGCTGGCATTGCATGAATCGCCATGTGAGATGAAGGTACCCACGAAGCGTCGTAACAGAGGCCCGATGTCATGGCACGGGGCATGTCGGAATTCTTGCCTTCGTGTGAGCTTGCTACTTGATTCGTGCTGGATAGTGCGGGTGTTGCGTCGATGGAACAAAATTTCAGGCTGGAGTCAGCGCGGCAAGTGCGCCGCCGGCTGTGGTGAATGGTGCGCTGAGTGATATTCTTTCACAGACCATGTAGCTTGCTGAGTTTTTTCTCGGTGTCACTTAGCAAGCTTTTTCGGGATCACTTAGCAAATTCGAGTCTGCACCGCTACGGTCACTAAGCCAACTTTTTAGGGGGTCACTTGGAAATCAAACGTTTCATCACATAAGTTTATAATTTACAGTATATGTTCAACACATTGTCTCTTTTTGCTGTAAACACGCCCCTCATTTGGCAATTCCGGTTCATGTTGCATCTTGCACACGCCTCCTCATTTGGCGATTCAGCTTCATCATATATCTTGAAGACGCTCGCTCATTTGGCTATAACCCTATATTGAACACGCCCCCTCATTGCCGATTCCGGTTCAACATATATCTTAAACACGCCTTTCCGGGTCATCGCACGTCTCAAACACACTCCTTGATTTGGCGATGCCGATTCGTCATGTATCTTAAACAAACTCCCTCCTTCGGCGACTCGGGTTCATCGAATATACTAAACGACTCCGCTTCATAATTTGCCTTAAACACGCTCCCTCATATGGTGATTGCGGTCCATCATATATGTCGAAAACACGCCCCTCATGCGTTCGTCGTATAGTTTAAAGATGCGCCCTCATTTGACGATTTGGATTCATCATAAATCTTAAACACGCCCCCTCATTTTGCGATTGCGGTTCTTCATACCGGATTCATCATATATCTTACACGCGCCCTCATTTGGCGATTCGGCTTCCTCATACATCTTAACGACGCCTGCTCATTTGGCTATAGCCTTATACTAAGCACGCCCCATCATTGCGGAGTTTCCTTCAACATATATCTTAAACACGCCTTTCCGGGTCATCGTATATCTCAAACACGCTCCTTGATTGGCGATGCCGGTTCGTCATGTATCTTAAGCACACTCCCTCATTTGGCGATTCGGGTTCATCGAAGATTTTAAACGACTCCGCTTCATCATTTGTCTTAAGCACGCCCCCTCATATGGCGACTGCGCTTCATGAGTTCATTATATATTATTAAAACACGCCCCTCATGGGTTCTCATGGGTTCGTCATATATCTTAAAGACGCCCCCTCATTTGACGATGCGGATTCATCATAAATCTCAAACACGCCCCTTCATTTGGCGATTGCGGTTCTTCGTATCGGATTCATCATATATCTTGAACACGCCTCCTCATTTCGTCATCGGTTTCATCCTTTAGCATCGGATCAACTTCGTGAGATTTGAAATATTCGCCCGACTTGATTGGAAAAGTTATTTGAATCAATATGAAAATACTGGATGACAACGATTTGGCAATATCGTTGCCAAATCTGCATCGGATCAACTTCGTCACATTTGCCTATCGCAGTTTACTTCGCCGTCGTCCTCGTCCTCGTCCTCGTCGTTGTAGTAGTACGGAAGCCGCACCTGTACCTACCTCGTGCTCGGGGCAGCTATCATGTATGTCTACGTGTATGCATATGTACATGTATACATATACATACATACATATATATATATATATATGTGTGTGTGTGTGTATGCGTTTGTGTATGTGCATACACATAGATATTACGCTCGTGCGTATGTTGATATACCTGCATATACATACATATATATATATATACATATATATATTCACATATACATATATATATATATACATATATACATATACATATATATATGTATATACATATGTATATGTGGCTATACGGGCTCTATGATGGGCCCTACTCCTTTGGGGAGCCAAAACGGTGCGGACCGGAACTGGCTAAACGACCCCGAAAAAAGTTTGCCATGCGACTTTGAAACAAAATTTGCTAAGCGACCCCCTTACCTGCTGACAGCTCACTCCAGAGCCAGTATCTGCACTTACGCATGAACATGAAGCCCCATGATCTGTCATCCGGGTCCTTGTGGGAAGATTTGGGCCATGCCGCAGGAGCTCATCTAACCCCCGGCGCTTTAGGCCACGTCCTCATGTGGCTTGTTGCAGATGTTTACAGCTGTACACGGCTGCCGTGCTGGTACGCCCTCAATGAGGCCTCATCTTGTCCTACCACACTTTGTTGCAGCGCATCGCTGCAGATCAGGAAGAGGCGATGCTATCGACAGATTCCCTTCGAAAACTGATCGAGATTTGTTCAGTTGCTCTTACAAAAGGACTGGCCACAGCTTGCTACGTGTTGTGCTCGCAAGCGTTTGTGCATGCGTGTGTGCGTGTGTGTGTGTGTGTGTCCGTCCAGGAAAGCGTGTATGTCGTTGCGGAAGACGATGCTGCGTTGGCCTCATGGGCTTGAAAGCAACCCCGTACCAGGTGGATTCTCCTCCCACTGGTCGTGCCTCCAGCAGAGAATGCACAAGCTCTGCCAGTTCGTAATTGAGGTGCTCGAAGACAACTTTGTCAGCAGCTTGGGGCTTTGCTTGCATGTGGGGAACTCAGCATCTTGAATGCCTCGGCCAGCTGACCGCAGACTAGCGGCCACTGCCTGGAGATGCTTGGAGGGCGAATGCAGCCTGACGTTTTGCAAGCAGAGCATGCTGCAGAGCAATCTACTGGTAAATAAGCCAGCGCTGACCTTTCGAGGCGCTGCACGACGAAGACAGCAGGCCCGGTCACCCGTGAGAATCGGAGGACAAGAAAGCTTACGTAAGGCACGAGTCTAACGTGCTTTTGCAGCAAGCTTCGTGTACTACAATGCAAGTGCTACGAATACAGCCGCTCTGCTCCTCCTCCTCCTACACTACCACTACACGACGACAGCGACGACTACTACTGCTGATACTGCTCCTGCTACTGCCACTGCTACTGCTACTGCTACTGCCACTGCCACTTCTACTTCTACTTCTTTGGGGTTTGAATGGCTTCATGGGCTCACGATCCTCCCAAGCCCCTTGGCTCAAATGCTGCTGACGGAGC